GACTTTGGGATGGACCTGGCTGCCTGCATTGAGCTCATTGAAAAGGTACTTTTTCCATTTAAGCGTATGATGTATTCTGGAATTTTGTGATGTTTCTCAGTTAGATTCAGCTAGGAGAGAAATTGCAGCCAGACAGCCAGTTTCAGTGAAACAAGGCATTTTGTGGAATTAATACTTTAGTCTAGTGCTGAGGAATTAGTACAGCGAAATGGAAATCTGTATCACCAATCTTGCATCACTGTATCTTCAAGCATGGAAAAGGTAGTCTAGACTCCCACCAACAGAATTCTTTAAAAACAACTAAAGTCACTTTACATTTTCTTTGAAGATGCGAAATCAAAACTCCACATACGTTGTTTAGGAAATAAATATGGCATGCCCCAATTTTCCAAGACAATCTGCATCTTGTAGCTATTTTCCCAATTGTATTTGTCTGCCACTTCTCCTGGTTCTACAGCCAATTTTAGCCTGAAGTGGTGAGACATTCTTACCAGTTCAGAGAAGAGAGACTGCTGAAAGGTAAGGAAAGACAAGAGAATTCTTGACAAACTTAGCCTCTTATTCAGGCAGAGATGCTACCAGCAATACACAGGTACCTCTGAATCTCATAGCACACGCTTCACACTAAGGTGATCTTTCTCTGTTACTTCTTGTGCTATCTTCCAGCCCATGGGCATCTTCTCCATCCTGGAAGAGGAGTGCATGTTCCCCAAGGCAACTGACACCTCTTTCAAGAACAAGCTCTATGACCAGCATCTGGGCAAGTCCAGCAACTTCCAGAAGCCCAAGCCTGCCAAAGGCAAGGCTGAGGCGCACTTCTCCTTGGTGCACTACGCTGGCACAGTGGACTACAACATCACTGGTTGGCTTGAGAAGAACAAGGACCCCCTGAACGAAACTGTCATTGGGTTGTACCAGAAGTCATCTGTGAAGACACTGGCCTTACTGTTTGCCACCTACGGTGGAGAAGCTGGTAAATTTTCCACAATCAATTTTTTCATATGCGCATAGAGTTTGAAGCAGAATCTTAAAGGCAATGCTAAAGATTTCTGATCTTTTTATTTCTTTCGATTTTCAGAGGGTGGTGGCAAAAAGGGTGGCAAGAAGAAGGGTTCTTCTTTCCAGACAGTCTCCGCTCTTTTCCGTGTAAGTACCAAACTTACCTTTTTCACGGAAGGACAGCAAACTCATTCTGGATCTGAAATGTGTGTTTCAGTTTTGGACATTAATCTTATCATCCTTGCAGAATCAGAAAGAGGCACTAGAAATACCAGGAAAGCTGTACCTCAATGTGTGTCTGGTCTTCTTATTGAAGGAGATAGATTGATATCGTTCAGCCTCCTGAAACAATCTAGGCAATTGCCTTGTTCCTTTTTCTATAATTAGCTACAGATACTGCATCCTTGGTTGATTTATTGCAACTGTCTCCTTCAGTTTTGCTCTTATCTTTTCTGGATTCAGTAGAAATTGCAAAAGGGTAAAGTTCACCAACTTAGATTTAGAATAAATAATTGTAGAATCATAGAATCACCAAAGTTGGAAAAGACCTCCAAGATCATCCATCCCAATCATCCGTCTATCATCAGTATTTTCCCACTAAACCATGTCATTTAGAACACCATCTAAAAGTTTCTTGGACACAACACTGACTCCACCACCTCCCTGGGCAGCCCATTCCAGTGCCTGACCACTGTTTCAGAGAAGAAATTTTACTTGATGTCCGACCTGAACCTCCCCTGGGTACAACTTGAGGCCATTCCATCTTGTCCTCTCACAAGTTACTCAGGAGAAGAGGTTGACCCTCACCTCACTACAGCCTCCCCTTCTGGTAGCTGCAGAGAGCAATAATATCTCCCCCGAGCCTCCTCTTCTCCAGACTAAATAATCCCAGTTCCTCAGCTGCTCCCCATTAGACTTGTGCTCCAGACCCCTCACAGCTTCATTGCCCTTCTCTGGATGTACTCCAGGGCCACAATTTCTTCCTTGTAGTGAGGGGTCCAAAAACTGAAAACAGTATTCAAGGTGCAGCCTCACCAGTGATGAGTACAGGGGAAGATCACCTCCTGCTCCTGCTGGCTACACCGTTTCTGATACAAGTCAGGATGCCATTGGCCTTCTTGGCCACCTGGGCATGCTGCTGGCTCATGTTCAGCTGAACATCGACAAACACCCCCAGGTCTTCTTCCTCTGCACAGTCTCCCAGTCACTCTGTCCCAAATCTGTCTCTTCCAATGCAAAACTGTTCTGTTTCTATTCTGTGAAATCTACTACCACATCAAAATGTAGTCAGGCTTAGCCTGACAAAACCAGGTGTCTGCAGTTTCCCAGTTTCCCTCTAGGAGCTCTGCAATATGTTGTAGGAAAGATAAGTCTGTATCCTGAAACATTCAGTTTGATAAATCCACTATTAAGTGGACAACAATTAATAATAATCAATCTCATACATTCACAGGAGAATTTAAACAAGTTGATGACAAACCTGAGAAGCACTCACCCCCATTTTGTACGCTGCATCATCCCAAATGAAACAAAAACACCTGGTAAGGAGATACAGTGGGTAAAATTAGAACTGCAGAAGCTCTTAGGTTGAGTGTCAAACAGTGGGGTAGTCACTAATTGTGGTGTTTGTTAGGTGCCATGGAACATGAGCTGGTGCTGCACCAGCTGAGATGCAATGGTGTGCTCGAGGGCATCAGGATTTGCAGGAAAGGATTCCCCAGCAGAGTCCTATATGCTGACTTCAAACAGAGGTAAGAGTGGTACCACTTGCTGTCCATTCAGACCGAAGTGAATAGCCTGGATGTTGAAATGCACTTGAAACATACACGTTACACTGGTATTGAAGTAATATGTAAATGCTTCTCTGTCAGATCATGATGACATGGCCAAAGATTAGGATTACTTTGGACTCTGCACTAACAGTAAAAATATTCTCCGTATCCCACTCTCAAAGGTTGAATTGGCTTCCAGCATTAGACTAATTCAAAGAGACAGTCTGAGAAGACTGGGGTTCAATTGTACTGGGGGTTTCAATAACAGGTATTTCTTCATATCTTGTTTCCTCCTACAGATACAGAGTGCTTAATGCGAGTGCTATCCCAGAAGGACAATTTATGGATAGCAAGAAGGCTTCTGAGAAGCTCCTTGGATCCATTGATGTGGACCACACCCAGTACAGATTTGGTCACACCAAGGTATGAACAAGTCTTGTGTTCAAAGAGAGAGCAATAAGAGCTGGTTGCTTCCTGAGGGTCAGGGAGTGCAGTGCAGTGCAGTGCAGTAACACAGCTGGCAGCTCAGGTGCCTCAGCCAAAAAAGATCCAAGCACACAGTACTTTGGCAAGGCAAGTGAAGAAGACCAACCAAGGACAGATTCAACTAAGAGTCCAAATCATCCAGTAGGTTTGTGACAACAAGAAAGGTGTGAGGTGAAGACTCAACAAGAAACTCTTGTTTTAAAGGTTGATTGTGGTCAGGTCTAGGTAGGATACCAAGGATCAGGCACTACTCACTAATTTCCTGATCAATGAAACAGGTCTAACATTAAGTCAGGAAGAAGAGTTCACTGTGGTCCACAGCCAGGCTAAGTGGGAAACCAAAATTGTAATAAGATGATTCAGGCAGGGACTGAAGGTCTAGGGCTGAGCTATCAAGAAGCTCCTAGACACAATGGAAAAATGATGTGGGAAGGAAGCCAAGGTTAGGCTGGTCATGATCATTAATGTCTCCTTCTGAAAGCTGAAAGCCTGTTGTCTCTGTATTATGGCTTACCCGACTGTTACGTGCTGCAACATTTTATTTTCAAGGTGTTCTTCAAAGCTGGGCTGCTGGGACTCCTGGAGGAGATGAGAGACGATAAGCTGGCTGAAATCATTACTCGCACACAAGCCAGATGCAGGGGCTTCCTGATGAGAGTGGAGTACCAGAGGATGGTGGAGAGGAGGTAAATATGCATATTTAGTTTATTCTCATGGTGCTTGGTTAATTGAGTTTAAAATTTTCACACTCAAGGTATGTAATCACTACATGAACTGTATTTTAGGGAGTCCATCTTCTGCATCCAGTACAACGTTCGTGCATTCATGAATGTCAAGCACTGGCCCTGGATGAAGCTGTTCTTCAAAATCAAACCCCTGCTGAAGAGTGCAGAGTCTGAAAAGGAGATGGCAAACATGAAACAAGAGTTTGAGAAGACCAAGGAAGAGCTTGCAAAGTCTGAGGCAAAGAGGAAGGAGCTGGAGGAGAAAATGGTTGTCCTATTGCAGGAGAAAAATGACCTGCAGCTCCAAGTGCAGGCGGTGAATATCATTGCTTATTTGTCCCTTGGATAAAGTGTTACACAGGCAGACTGCTTTTTTCCTCCAGGCAGAGACTTGTAGGAAGATAACTAATTTACAATAGGAAAAGAAGTCACACACTTAGAGTTACTGGAAGGTTGAATAAATGGACAGTGGCAGGGGTGTCCCCTATCAGCCAGTGAAGTAACCTGGCAATGCCAAATAAACTTGATGGCTCTTCTGTCCTAAGGAGAGAGACTTGTAGCACTAATCAATTGTAAAAAGTAGCAAACAAATCTGTCTGAACTGGATAGGAAGAATCTCCATCAGTTCAGCCTTCAAAGCAGTGCTCTTATGCAATAGAGTAAAAGCAACCATGAGAAGGACCCTTTTTTCCTAATCACAAATGTACCATAATGACTAGATTGCTAGATATTTGACATTCAGCTATCAATCAGGAGTCGGTTTCTTCATTCCAAAAAAAACACCAACTTCTCTAGTTCATTATTCTCACAAATAAAAACACCTAATTCCCCAATATTATATTAAACAAAAACAAAAAAAAAAAAAAAAAAACAACAAAACAGAACCATTTAAATATTGTGTCTGTGGGAGAAAAAAAAACCAACAACAAAACAGAACTTCAAAACATTATAACTCACAAAAATCTGTGTCTCCTCATAGGAAGCAGATAGCTTGGCTGATGCTGAGGAAAGATGTGACCAGCTCATCAAAACCAAAATCCAGCTGGAAGCCAAAATTAAGGAGGTGACAGAACGGGCTGAGGATGAGGAGGAAATTAATGCTGAGCTGACAGCCAAGAAGAGGAAACTGGAGGATGAATGCTCAGAGCTGAAGAAAGATATAGATGACCTGGAGTTAACGTTGGCTAAGGTTGAGAAGGAAAAGCATGCCACTGAAAACAAGGTACACACACATGAGAAGTCACATAATGTGTGAAGCTACTCTCAGAGTAGAAGTGACTACTACATCAGAACATATTGGCTCTGGAAAAATCATGCAAGATCTCATCTAAACTGTAAAAGATAAAATAAACCTCATTGCAAAACACTGCAAAATGCAACTGCCACTACAACAACAGGCAAGTTTTATACCATGTTTTAATGTTTCCACCAATTCGTAGGTGAAAAATCTCACAGAGGAGATGGCAGTCCTGGACGAGACAATTGCCAAGCTGACAAAGGAGAAGAAAGCCCTCCAAGAGGCCCATCAGCAGACACTGGATGACCTGCAAGTAGAGGAAGACAAAGTCAATACGCTGACCAAAGCTAAAACCAAGCTGGAGCAGCAAGTGGACGATGTAAGCAAAATGCATATAGCCATTACAGGACAGTTGTGGAGATAAATATGGCTGGCAGAGCACTGATGATCCCATTCTGTTTAGCTGGAAGGGTCCCTGGAGCAAGAGAAGAAGCTGCGCATGGACCTTGAGAGAGCAAAGAGGAAACTTGAAGGAGACCTGAAGTTATCCCATGATAGCATAATGGATTTGGAAAATGATAAGCAGCAGCTGGATGAGAAACTGAAGAAGTAAGTGAGGTTGTGGGACACCTGAGTGCTGGGCAGGTGCACGTAGGAGGTTTTGTTCAGGTGTTAACACAGTTTGTTTTGTGCAAAAGGAAAGACTTTGAAATCAGCCAAATCCAGAGCAAAATTGAGGATGAGCAAGCCCTGGGCATGCAGTTGCAGAAGAAGATCAAGGAGCTGCAGGCAAGTCTCTGGTCCTTCCCTTCTGGCCTTCAGAAAACATCTGAAGGAGAAGGACATGGGTGTGAAGGGTCCCTGATGCTCCCCAGGCCCGTATTGAGGAACTGGAGGAGGAAATCGAGGCAGAGCGAACCTCTCGGGCCAAAGCAGAGAAGCACCGAGCTGACCTCTCCAGGGAGCTGGAGGAGATCAGTGAGCGCCTGGAGGAAGCAGGAGGGGCTACGGCAGCTCAGATTGAGATGAACAAGAAGCGTGAGGCAGAATTTCAGAAGATGCGCCGTGACCTGGAAGAGGCCACGCTGCAGCACGAAGCCACGGCTGCCGCCCTGCGGAAGAAGCATGCGGACAGCACAGCGGAGCTTGGGGAGCAGATCGACAACCTGCAACGAGTCAAGCAGAAGCTGGAGAAGGAGAAGAGTGAGCTGAAGATGGAGATAGATGACTTGGCCAGCAACATGGAGTCTGTCTCCAAAGCCAAGGTAAAGAAAGGCAATAGTATTTATTATTCACAGAGCAAAGGCATGGTGCTTAGGCGGTATCTACAAATCACACTTGTACCAGAATTCTGCTGTAAAAATCAGGCAGAGTCCAGACTTTCATCTCCTTTCCTTCCTTGCTTTCCATACCTAGGCAAATCTAGAGAAGATGTGCCGCACTCTGGAGGACCAGCTGAGTGAGCTTAAAACCAAGGAGGAACAGAATCAGCGCATGATCAATGACCTCAATACCCAAAGAGCCCGTCTGCAAACAGAAACAGGTGACATATCCTAATTCTTGATGTCCAATGAGAGAACCTCTAAATTAGAATGATATGTTACAGTGCAAAGGGAGAATTTAGCTCACATCTCATAACTATTCCAGATTCCATGGCTTTACAGTGTACCCAAGTGCTTGTTATTGTAGATATTTTAAACATTTATATCATTTATCTTCAGTCAAACATGACCTCAGGTCGCTAACAATGGCAATGTCCATGTGGACCACATCAGTAATAGTGTGGCCAGAAGGACTAGGGAAGGGATTAATCATCAGGAAGAAATTCTTTAGGCAGACAGTGGTGAGGCACTGGAACAGAGTGTTCAGACAAGCAGTGTATGTCCCTTCTGAGGAAGGGCTTAAGGTTAGATTGGATGGAGTTTTGAGCAACCTCATGTAATGGAACGCATTCAGCCCATGGCTGGAGGATTGGAAGTAGATGGATTTGAAAGTGCCTTCCAATTCAAACTATTCTTTGACTCTCTGACTGCATGATTTTATGATAGTCCCTCTCTACTCATCACTGGTGCAACTCGCTACACATTTGGATCCCTCACTACACTAAAATTCTAGAGCTGCTGGAACAGTAGTGCTGATGATGCAGCTAGAAAACAAGACATGAGGGAACTGAGGTTGCTTAGTTTTGAGAAAATGAGGCTTAGAGGAAACCTCATCACGCTCTACATTTTCTTAAAAGCTGGTTTTGATTTTTTTCTCAGTGGTCTAGGGATAGGGAATGGTCTCTGTTTGCACCAGGGGAGGTTCAGATTAGATGTCAGGGAGAATTTTGCATGGAAAGGGTGGTTAGGCATTGGAAATGGCTGCTGAGAGAATTAGAGTATTAGAGTATTAGAATCACTGGAAACATTTGAAAACGTGTGAATGAGATGCTTAAGGACATGGTTAAGTGACAATGATGAGATTTATAAGACCTATGGGTCATATTTAAACCAAATCACTTTATGATCTATGATTCTACTGTTAGTATAACACTTCTTTTTTCTTCTCATTTTACATTTTCCAGGTGAATATTCTCGCCAGGCAGAGGAAAAAGATGCTTTGATTTCTCAGCTCTCTAGGGGCAAGCAAGGATTTACCCAACAGATTGAGGAACTGAAGAGACATCTAGAGGAAGAAATAAAGGTCTGGAAATACCTTCTTCCTTCAAGCCATGTTACCATGACATGCATGTGTAGAATCCTATCTAAAACAAGAGCAGCTCAGTATTCTTTCCCCAAACACGTGCAGTACAGGAGGGAGCAGCGTTTGTATTTGAGGGGGAAGGAACCATAGTGAATTTGATGCTACAGAAAGTTATCCTTTGAGGAGATTCTGATACCCTGTAAGACAAGATCCATGCTCATTTCTAGAAATATTTACAGAACCATCACACTATTGTCCCCAGGCCAAGTTCATTAACATATCTTGATTCTCTAGCACACATTTTTGAGGGATTCACTGTCTCCTGGCCTTACATTTGTTTCATCAGGGTTTACCCATCCTTACCCCTGGAGCAGTACTCCTGATTATGACAATCCCGTTTTCAATATGCATCTTGAGATATTCAGCTTAGAAATCTCAATGTTCTCACAGGCCAAGAACGCCTTGGCACATGCCTTACAATCTGCACGTCATGACTGTGAGTTGCTCCGGGAACAATACGAGGAGGAGCAGGAAGCCAAGGGTGAGCTGCAGCGTGTCCTGTCCAAGGCCAACAGCGAAGTGGCCCAGTGGAGAACCAAATATGAGACGGATGCTATTCAGCGCACAGAGGAGCTGGAGGAGGCCAAGTATGTGGGGAATTAGGATGTGAAATGGCTGGAGAAGTCTGAGATAATCAAGGGAAATTAGAAGTCACTGATAATGGATTAAGATAGGGTTGGGATGAAGGCAGTGACATCCTTGCTTGCGCTAGAAGAGAGAGAGGAAAAGCATTTCAGTCTTTCAGTCTGCGAAAAAGTGCAGACTGAAAGACACACATACATTCAGGATTTTGTTAAGCTAACAAAGGCTGAATACTCAGTAGGTGTTAGGACAAAGCTTAGACAAACCCTTTAGACTGCATGCAACCACTATACAGAAAAACCACTGAACAGATGGAGGGTCAAAATCCCTATGTGATCAAATGCCCTCTTATGAATGTAAAACGCAGGCTCCCTCTTCATCTCTAACCTGCAGCTGTGTTTGCCTCCTTCCAGGAAGAAGCTGGCACAGCGGCTGCAGGAGGCAGAGGAACACGTTGAAGCCGTGAATGCCAAATGTGCTTCCCTGGAAAAGACAAAGCAGAGGCTGCAGAATGAGGTGGAGGACCTGATGATTGACGTGGAGCGATCAAATGCTGCCTGCGCAGCTCTGGACAAGAAGCAGAAGAACTTTGACAAGGTATTCTGGGCTCCAGGCCTGTGTTTCCTGGGCACACAATGATTGTCGCATCCAAACTCACAACCTGTTTTTCCTCAGATCTTGGCGGAGTGGAAGCAGAAGTACGAGGAAACGCAGGCTGAGCTGGAGGCCTCCCAGAAGGAGTCTCGCTCCCTCAGCACAGAGCTGTTCAAGATGAAGAATGCCTATGAGGAGTCTCTGGACCACCTGGAAACGCTGAAGCGTGAGAACAAGAACTTGCAGCGTAAGTCGCTCAGCCTTTCCTGCTGGCAGGGCTTTCTCAGAAGCTTTCCTGCCCACCTCTCCACCTGGGTCTGTGCCTGCAGTGATGGGAGCAGACCTGTTATGCTGGGGTCACAGGGCCTTTCCCTCTATGCTCTATACCTGACCATGTGAATGTTCATTCTTCTCTACAGAGGAGATTTCTGACTTCACGGAGCAGATTGCAGAGGGAGGAAAGGCGATTCATGAGCTGGAGAAAGTCAAGAAGCAGATTGAGCAGGAGAAGTCTGAACTCCAGGCTGCCTTGGAGGAAGCTGAGGTACATAGTGCTAAGACTTGTTTCCAATCTTATGGAATGGAAACAGTAATCTGTAGATATTTTGGAAAATATAGATTATGTTCTGAAGGATTGCATATGAGATTGCTTAGAGAGGAAATTATATTTCTATTCACTATTTCTTTTTTACTTGTCCAGGCCTCCCTGGAACATGAAGAGGGGAAGATCCTGCGCCTCCAACTGGAGCTCAACCAGGTCAAGTCTGAGATTGACAGAAAGATAGCAGAGAAAGATGAGGAAATTGACCAGCTGAAGAGAAACCACCTCAGAATTGTGGAGTCCATGCAGAGCACCTTGGATTCTGAGATCAGAAGCAGGAATGAAGCCCTGCGGCTGAAGAAGAAGATGGAGGGAGACCTGAATGAAATGGAGATCCAGCTGAGCCATGCCAACCGCATGGCTGCTGAGGCACAGAAGAACCTGAGAAACACACAAGGAACACTCAAGG